ATCTTTCCAGTTATTCCCTCAAACTACCTGGGCTACTGGACTGCTGCACCCCATCTTTCTTTCGGTTTAGCTGTTCCAGGGTTATTCCTGGGATGATATTTTCTGGGCTTGCAGGAGTTAATAATTTCCCATCTATTGAGGGCTGAAAGGATTCACAGCAAATCATAGATTTCTCTGCTATGGAAATTTCAGGCTTCAGAAGCCATCCAGGTTTTGAGGCCTTCAACAATAATCATAAATAACAAGACAGGAATATCTTCTGATAAATCATTACTTAAAGTTATATGTTTAAGCTCACATATTTAAGTTATTTGCTCTTTAGAGCTCCTACTGTAATATCACATGTCCTGGGACTAAGCTGTCGAAATCTGCAATAAATTACTCAAAATCAGCTGATTTGAGAAAATGAAAACTACAAACAATAATTACCCTGGCAATACAGGAAGAAGAGTATGAGGACTGAAGCATCAGAATGCAATCTGTCTGTGGAATGAGCTACCCACACTGAAAATAATTCTAAGACTTCAGGACTAGGCCAGTTTGTTTTAGCTACAATAAAACTGGGTTTAAATAGCTCCTATAACCTTTTGATAAATCCATTCTTCTCCCCTCTAGCCTCTCTACTTAAGATTTGTTTTTCAACACTGTGCACCAGTATGGTACAGCCTCTGTAATTGCCACCCCCAACTTTCAAATTGCAAGCATGTAAACAGAGGGTGAAATGTATTATCATTGAGCTCTGTCATATGTAGATTAAACAGATTTCTGATGATAAACTAATGCTTTTAAAAGGGATTAAAAGTTAATCCTTGTGATAAACACTTTTTTTTTAAAGTAAGTTTATGAGATTACATGTAACTGTATTTCCTCATCTCACTCTAACCAAGGTCATAGCTTTACTGTAAACAATGACTTGTCAGATGGGACTTAAAAAGTTAATATCAGAGTGTGCTTTGTCTGTCACTATTCTCACAATATTAATAAAAATGATGGCAATGTTCTTTTCATTGGTAACATTTTAATGGATAACTTTATCATGCAAAAATATATTACTTTCCTGGGTCGTAAAATATTTTGAAGATTTGATAAAGAAGCATATTTGATTTGTTGAGTGGAAATCACTAAGTTTTTCAGAGGAAAGTTATCATGTAATTCAAATAAGTAAATAAATGTGTATTTTAAGTTTTATATTTGAAGGATTTATTGCCTTAGTATTTATATCCATCAATAAGATTCCTAAATCCTTGAATAAGTATTCTTCTTATAATCAAGGACAGCAATTAATTTTTCAAATCCCCAGAATTCTTTTTTGTTATTTGCAACAAATGATAGGTTGGAACAATTTTTTAGTAACTTTTCTGTGAGTGTGGATTTCTTGTTTTTTCATTGTTTGAATTACAGATTTAAAATCAAATAAATTTAAGATATTTTGCATTGATGATGTTTTGAATGTATTAGGCAAATGAAACTTAAGCCATGTTAATAAATTATATAAAATGTATTTTAAATAAGATTCCTGCAGGTTTCTCTTGGATTCATCTTTAGCTTTTAGCAAGATCATTTTGCCAGTCAATTGCTTATGGAAAAAAGCTAAATTTATTGTTGTGTAGTCCATCATATTTTTTGTTACTCACCAATAGAGAGAATAGCAAAGGTAATAATTTGGTTTTGCTATTTTTCCTTTAATCCACAAAGCTCAAAGATCTATATGAATTATCAGCTGAAGTCCAATATCAAGTATTATTTCCCTCAAAATTGTAGCTCCTTTAAAAAAAAAGGCCATCAGGGATTGTATTGGTGGGTGACATAGAAAAAAAAAAGAATGCTCAGATGGGAAATATATTACAATTCTAGCTTTCTGGATAGCTGTTTGTTTATTATATTAATTCTAAGTAAATTTTTAGAATTGTATTCTAATTTTACAAATAGACACTGCATACGTTTTCCCCGTTTTATTTTGGTAAAAGATTGGTATGTGTTGAAATACCACAAATGTCCTTCCCAATCATTTCAGTTATTTTCAGAGTCCATTAAAGTTTGCAAGCTCTTATCAGTAAAGTCCCCTTCTGGATCTTTTTATCCGATAATAACAATGATGATGATGATAATGACAATGATAATAACAATAACAATGTTGTCTTTCAGAGTCCAATGCGGATGTTTCACAATGTAAAGGATGTAGGATTTCTCCAGGTGAAAGTCATCAGAGCAGAAGGGCTGATGGCAGCTGATGTCACAGGCAAGAAATTATGTCACTCCTTTAACAATGCAAAAGGTCCTTGCCTTTAAGTAGTTTTAAGATTTGCATTATATTGGACTATAGCTTCTAAATAAAATGTTTAAAAAGAACAAAGGCTAGAATTAAATCTTGATAGTCACAAAGGAAACACACACACATGCAAAGCAAACACATAGCTCAGTATATCATGACTGTATATTTGAAACGAGCAGGATATTCTCCCTGTATACCACATCCAAATATGGCTAGGAGAACACTACAAAGGACAGAAGTTGGGAGAAGGAAATGTTTTCCCAAATCACCTCTTCTACTACACGATTCCTTAACAATATAGCAAGTATTTTCCAGCATATGCGGATGAAAGGTACTCCATACTCCTTGGCCCGTCCTCTTATTATGTGAGCCAATTTGGGGGACATTGAATGAGTTCACCTTAGCTTAGGCAATGCAAAAAGAGAATCCCACCTGTTGGGGATTTTCTCTTGAAATTGTGTGGATCTGTACTGGACATCTGGTGTTGTTATAGATCCATTCTCCAAGGCAAAGGTCTTAGGGGGACCAAGGATCAGTGGGGTTTCATGAACTGCAAGCTGAGAGCATTCTTTCTCTGTGTGTGCCTGGGTATTAGATGTTAGAAGAGATCTGACAGCTGTTATTTCTGCATTTCCCAAAATTAAAATTTATAAAGTTGGATTTATGGCTGGGTACCTTTTCCCTAAAAACATTTGTTCTTTCTTTATCTAGGGAATTTGGGGGTGTTTGCACCACTAATTAAAAGAAGCACTCTCAGAATGTTCAGGAAACAGGACTATCTCAATGTATCTTTATGTCAGATCTTATGTTGCTTAATGATAGTACTCATTTGGCATTTATGGAAATATGCCTGCCATTTACATGTGAGCAAAATTATCCTCAAAAAGAATGGCTTTGAAAAGAACTACACCTTTCCTACCATTAGAGGGCCTACAAAGATTTCACGAATAGTAGATACCATTCAGTACTCTAGTGTTAAATAGACCCTGAGAAACCAGAACTGATTAAAAAACAATCTGTTAATATCTCACAAATGAGAGTATACCAAATGTTAGTCACATGCTATTCTCAGAATTTATTTCTGCATCTTATCAATTGCCTATTTACTATTATTAAAGGAAAGGACAAAATGAAAATATTTAGGAGTTTGCAATTTATCTTAAAAAAAAAGTAATGGTGAAGAAAGTAGTAGTAGTAGCAGCTGTTGGCCATTGTCCAAAACTATTTCATAAGTTCAAATATGTGTCTCCTCTCATTGGGGCAGCTAGCCAGACATAGAGTCAGGATGACCTGAATGCAGATATGGCCTCAGACACTTACTAGCTATGTGACCATGGGCAAGTCACTTAACCTCAGTATGCCCCAGTTTCCTCAACTGTAAAATGGGGATAATAATAGCACCTATCTCCCAGGGTTATTGTGAGGATCAAATGAGAAAATAATTATAAAGCTTTTAGCACAGTGCCCAGCACATAGTAGGCACTGTATAAATGTCAGAAATTATCATTATTATTATAAATGTGCTGATTTGTATTCTTGTATTAAATGATTCCTATCAAGACTGTCTTCCAAATAATTCATTCCTCTTGTGTTGGAATTTTATTTTCTGGTTTAGTTCAAGGCAGTGGTTCCCACTTCCTTCTCAGCGGACAGTTAATCTAGCATTAGGGTTATACCAGGAGGCCACATTCTCAAAGTTGATCGTGATTCTCTCCAGAGCTTAGGGGTTTTTGCCTTCTGGAGTTGGATCCTACACATGGAGGGCACCAAGATTCTCAATTCTCCCCTCCCCTTGTTTTGGAGGAGCATTAAGACTGCATGCACTCTGGTTTCAAAATTATAGAGTATCTTTTTTTCCATTCATAGCATTTAAATCTTTCTTTTTTAAATTAATTTATTTTGAATTATCAACAATCACTTCCATAAGCTTTTGAGTTTTAAATTTTTCTCCCCCTCCCTCCCCAAGATGGTGCACACTCTGATACAGGCTATACATATACATTCCTATTAAACATATTTTCACATTAATGATGTTGTAAGTAAGAAGTAGAACCAATAGGAGGAACCACCAGAAAGGAAACAAAACACAACAGAAGAAAAAAATAGCAAATAGTATGCTTCGATCTGCATTCAAACTTCATAGTTCTTTCTCTGGAGGTAGACAGCATTTTCCATCCTCGGTCTTTTGGAGATGTCTTAGATCCTGGTATTGCTGGGAAGGGTTAAGTCTATCAATATTAGTCATTGCATAACCTGGCTGTTACTGTGTACAACATTCTCTTGGTTCTGCTCACTTCACTCAGCATCAGACCATACAAGTCTTTCCAGGTTTTTCTGAAGTCTGCCTGCTCATCATTTCTTATAGCACAATAGTATTCCATTACATTCATATACCGCAACTTGCTCAGCTATTCCCCAACGGATGGACATCCTCTCATTTTCCAATTCTTTGCCACCACAGAAAGAACTGTTATTTATTAATATGAAAATCATAAATCCCTCAGTAAACACCTGGTGCTGGTCCAAGCAATACATGTTGCTGGAGGATAAGATCATACAGGGTGCAAAGGATTGCTGTTATGCCAAGCTCAGGGCACAGCATGTTTGCTGGGTCTTAGCTCTGGGAAATAGGGTGTTTCTAAATACCTTGACAACATCTAGGGCCTTTCTGAATGCTCATTGAGTTGACCTAAGAACTGTTAACAGACAGGGGTTCAGAGGGATCTGAGAAGTCGTGTGTGACCTGAGGTAGGGGGACCATGAACAGCACCAGGAGCACAATTTCTGCTCTGATGATAGCATATTAAAAAACAATAGCTGGGGGAGCCTTCAGGGCTCTGCTCCAGGTCTGTCCAGACAAGATTCAGGGTGAAGACTTTTCCTGGGGGGAACTTCAGTTGCTGCATGGGAGAGCTTGGCCACAACAAACAAAGAAGAGGGGGGAAAGTGAGTGTGTGTGTGTGTGTGTGTGTATGTGTGTGTACGATACTAGGCAGCCATTAAGAAAGCAAAAATATGATCCCTTGGTAATAGAGACTAGTGAGTGAAGTGGTCACCCTTGTTAGATAGCTATAATGAGGGAGAACTTAAAAACAAACAGGGGAGGGCAGCATGGGGGGGAGCAGTGCTCAATATATCAAGGACCCAATGAATCAGTTTAAAACACGGAAAAGAGCAGGGTAGTGTTGTTACCACTGCATTCAATTTCATGCCTATTTTTGTACAGAAATGATCCCTAAAGCAGGCATTGCCAGTTTCATAGACCATCCTCTACGTCTATGGAAATGACTGGATTGCTGACGTTGGCCAAGTCTGTGGATAGACTGCACTCACCTGGGCTGGGGCTTGGCTGCTCCCAGGAGCCATTCTCTCTCAATCCAGGCTCCCTGTGTAGGTAGCAAAGTAACCAAAGTGACTCCATTTTGTAAAGTCCCTTCATCTTATCCCTGGACCTTATCTACCCCAGGCATCTGCTTCCCCCACCCTTTATGGCCCCACCAATAGAGCAGCAGCCAACACTCTCACTAACCGATGTCCCAAGTAATCATGGGATGTTCTAATTCTATGCCTTTCTGATGACCATGAGACAGCCTGGAGCCACCTGGAAAGTCCTTTCCTTCTTTCCTTCTGCACAGAAAGCCCATCTGCCCCACCTGTAATCTTAATGCTGGGCTGACTGCCTTGGTGCTCATACTCCGGGCGTTTGCTGTTTGTTGGGCCTCGTAATAAAACTTCTAACTTCCCTCCAGCTTTAGTGTCTGGATTTGACCCAATACCTTCTTGGGGTAGGTTTTGTTCCTCTGCAGACTGAGCTGGGGAGGGAGACGGATCCCAGAGAAGAGCTCTTTCTCCTCTCTTCATAGGCAGGAGGCTGCCCAACTGGAATTTACAGAGGGCAAGGTCCCATAGGAGTTAGGAAGACCCAGGCCTTGCCCTCAGGGAAAGGACTCCAACCTGTAGAGGGAGGGAAGCAGCAGGGAGGGTCAGGGTAGGAAATGAAGCTGATCTCAAAAGGAAAACTACTTCCCTCCTCTTACTTCTCTTCTGCACCCCTCTTTTCCCCCATCCTCCTACAGAGCCCTCAGAGGAAGATGAAGCTTGGGATCCCAGACAGGATGAGACCAGTCAGAGTCTCAATGACCCCTGAGACAGAGCTCTCCCTGGAACTGATCCTCTGCCCTCCCTGCATCCCCTCTCCTCAATTAACACACATTATTTAAACAATAGACTGACTGCTAGATCTAGCAGGGAGGGAGGTTAGGGAAGGCTGAGGAAGGGGAGGGCTCTGGAATGGAGCAGCCAAGGAAAGCCCGAGACTGGGAGACAAAACCCAGGCTGGGATCCAGCCGCCTGTGTGGGACCCGAGAGCTCTTAAAGATGTGGGGCTGGGGGAGCAGGAGGCCTGGGGCAGGGGAGCAGGGGTGGGATCTGGGAGGCAGGACAGTCTAACCCTGACCCTAAATGCCTCCGACTTTAACCCTAAATGCTCATGACAGGGAGGTCAGGGACACTTGATTGGAAGAAGTGTTCCAAATGGACATTAAGCTTGGGCAGGTAAGGATGACTGTGTCCTGAGGTCTAAGCTAGGATCTGGGGAGGATGCCCAGGACCCTCTGGTACAGCTTAGGCTTGGAATCCCTCCAGGGAGCCAAATGGCTGGGATCTGATAGGGAACCAGCCCAAGAGGCACAGATTCAGATAAGGGGGATCAGGAAAGAGCTTTGGTTCCTGCTCTGGGTTTGAACCACATTCCAAAGATTTCTTCTCTACACATTGGCTCATAAATTCTGTTTCCTCTAGTTTCACAATACCCAAGTCCAAAGGTATTCCTTCTTCTTTCTCTCGTAGCCTTCCAGAGGACATATGTTTTGGGGTTTCTCTCTAGAGCCAGTTCTATTCTTAACACTCTGTTCAGAAATACTTCTACGGACTTGTAAATTTTCAGTTCTTCCAAGGTGGTGTGGTCAAAAGGGCAAGGTGTTTACTCCTTTCCTGGCCTGTGCTCTGGTCTACAAGCATTCTTTTCTGTCTTGGAACTGAGAGGAGGGTTTCCTCTCTACAGCCACTACAAGCTCCACCAGACCAGTGCTCCTCCTCGCGCTAGGTCCACCACCCAGAACTGTGACTGAGATCCAAGCACGTGCAGAGCAAGAGAATCCTGCACCAGCAAAGAGTTTCCTGCAATCCCCTTCTGATCAGCCACTCGATTCCCCCTCTATCTGTGGGCCAGGAGCTCAAGAGGGCCACTGCCCTGAGGGCACGCTCAGGACTTGCGGCTGAGACCTAGCTCCTTCTCTCACCGCAGTCACAGACTTTTCTCACTGACCTTCTAAGTTGTCTTTGGCGTTCCTGGGTTGAGAAGTTTGGAAACCGCCACAGCTCTCCATGATTCAGTCGTCTGAGGCCTGCTCCAGGGTTGCTGCAGATATACCTTTTTGATCAACCATTCAGGCTGTCTTGGACTGGAAATTTGTTTCATTCTGTCTTTTTGTGGGTTCTGCTGCTTTAGAATTTGTTTAGAACCATTTTTTATAGGTATTTGGAGGGGTCTGGGGGAGAGCTTAAGCAAATCACTGCTTTTACTCTGCCATCTTGGCTCCACCCCCCCAAAGGGATTTTAGAGACTGCCTAGTACCACACCCCTATTTGACAGATGAGGAAACTGAGACCCAGAGAAGTTAAGTGACTTGCAGAAGGTCATACAGCTAGTAAATAACAGAACTGAGCTTTGACCGCAGGAATTCTTACTCTAAATCCAATGTTCTCTTCACCATACCCTGTAGTTTGGTTGCTACTACACACATCTTCCTTCTTACCCTCCACACAAAACATAAACCATTAGGGTCTGCTGAATTTTGCCTGAGCAAGCTCAGTTTCTCTTGTACAAAAGTCCTCTGCCCCATGGAACCAGGCAACCTCACATCTATCCCAGCTAACTCCTTCCTTCCAGGTGCCCCTAAGTCTCCTGGAAGCAATGGAAATTCATTCCTTGTTTCCCTTTGCAGGGCCAGCATGGGTGGCATTTTCTCCAGTTTTCTCATCCTCCACGCCCTGGAGTATTCCAGATTCCAAACTCCTTTTATGAAAACAACTCTGATAATCCTATCTATATTTAGGAACTTGCTCTGGCTTTGTGGTATATTCATTTGTTCAATACATTTACTGAGGACCTACTATGTGCAAGGCTCTGTGATGGGTTTTTTGAATAAGTCTAGGTCCCTGCCCCCAAAGTCCTTTCAGTCAAACAGAGTGCAAGGATAGAATATGGATCAAAAATGATAATAAAGACTGATATAGTCTGTATTGGGGCAGCAGGTGGCTTAGAGGAGAGAGTTCTGGGCTTGGAGTCAGGAAGACTCATCTTTTTGAGTTCAAATCCAGCCTCAGACACTTACTACCCGGGTGACCCTAGGCAAGTCATTTCACCTTTGTGTCCTCAGTTTCATCATCTGTAAAATAAGCTGGAGAAGAAGTGGCAAACCACTGCAATATCTTTGCCAAGAAAATTCCAAATGGGGTCATGAAGCGTAGGACACAACTGAAAAATGACTGAACAACATAGTCTGTATTAAGTACCATAAGGTATATGATAAGTCATCAGGGAGATCCAAAATAGCATTAAGGTAGCTCAGAGGTGAGAGAAAATACACTTCTTTTTGCAACCCAGCACCGAGGAGAAGGGCTTCAGGCTTGTAGAAACGGTTGTTGAGTTGAATGTTGGCTTATTTAGGTTCAGAGAAGGCTTCATGGGGAGATGACATTTCAGCAGTTTTAGTCACTATCATTTATTTTAAGAAAGGAAGCCCGGTGTAGATGATAGAGGGCTAGCCTTGGAGTGAGAAGGGCTGGATTCAAGTCCTGCCTTGGACCCATATGAGATATGTGACCACAAAGAAGTTACTTAGCATCTCAGTACACCTGACAAGCCAAGACTCCAAGTTACAAAAGAGGTGCCTGTTCTCGTCAACAGAGAGAGTTCCCACATAGTAGAGTTCCCTACAGCAATAAGATGAAAGCTCTGGACAGGATCAAGAAGTGTTTGGAAGGTCACACTTTCTCAATGCTTTGCTCTGTTCTTTTAGCAATCATAATGTTTAGCAGAAATTGAAATAATTCCAGATCATGGAACCAACTCCCTGAAGTTTTTTCAATTATTTTCAGTCATGTTCAACTCTCTATGACACTATTTGCAGTTCTCCTTGTAGAGATACTGGAGTGTTTTTGCCATTTCCTTCTCCAGCTCATTTTCCATATGGGGAAACTGAGGCAAACAGGGTGAAGTGACTTGCCCAGGGTCACATAGCTAGTAAGTGTCTGAGGTCAGATTTGAACTCAGAAAAATGAGTCCTCCTGACTCCAGGCCTGGTACTCTATCCAGTGTGCCACCTAGATGCCTTGAAGGTATAAGGAGGCAGATTTTAGCCTCATAGAAGCAAGCATTTGCTAACAATGCGAGTTGTTGCCCAAAAGTAGAGTGAATTGCCTTAAGAAGTAGTGAGCTCCCTGACAAGGAAAACTTCAGGGAAGGCTAGATGACTTGTCAGCAATATAGAGAGGATGACCGTTCCCATGCTGGTGGGACGAGGTGACCTCCAAGATGCCACCCAGTTCTGATGCCCTGAAATTCTCATCCCTTGTGGAAGATACAGAGATCTGACTTACTGGCAATCCAGCCCCCTCCTTTGCATGGACAGGAGCATAGACATTGAGGTACAAACAGTCTTCATAACTGGCAGTTGTAGAGATGTTTATTTTCCTTGCCCTTGTCATTTTTTCTAGGGTAGTAACATTCTGCAAACACCTGGGAAATTCAAGAGATAACCAATTGGAATAGAATCACATGGGGATGATAATAATAATAATGATAATGATAATAATAACTGAGTACTTTGAGGTTTGTAAAGCACTTTACAAACATGATCTCATTTGACCATCACAATAATCTTGGAGGTAAGTGCTATTGTTATCCCTATTTTACAAATGAGGAAATTGAGGCAGGCAGAGTTGCAGTGACTTGCCAACATTTCACAACTTTTTACACAGTCTTTTTCTTATTTATTGTATATTGAAAATGTTTCATTTTGTTGGTGATTGTTAAGTAGGAAACAAACAATTTTTTTAAATTAAAACAACAACAACAACAATATAGAAACCAAAAAGATATTACCAATAGGAAAATAGCTGAAGAAATCACAGTGTATGAATGTCCTGGAATGTGATTGCACTGTAAGACAGGATGAATGTGAGGAACTCAGAAAACTTGCTGTAGATTGATGAAACTCGAGCTAGACCAATATAGACCATGAAGAGAAGCATTTTAAGAAGAGCATAACTGCTGGGCCACTGTGTGAGCTGGAGTTTCTTTATTACTGAGGAGCATTAGATTGGAGGGGTATGTATGGTCTCCAAAGCAAAAGTCATCAAACTTCGTATAAAACAAAATGAGGGGTCCGATTCAATGACCTCCAACTTTCTGAGCCTATCAGTCTGTGAGTTCTGGCTTTGTTATTTACTAGCTTTGTGACTTTGGGTGAGTCACCTAATCCCTGTAGTTGTTTAGTACTGTCTGACTCTTGTAACTCTATATGAGGATTTCTTGGCAAATATACTAGAGCAGTTCGCCATTTCCTTCTCCTGTTTATTTTACAGATGAGGAAATTGAGGCAAAGAGGGTGAAGTGACTTGCCCAAGGTCACATAGCTAGTAAATATCTGAGGTCACATTTGAACTCAGGTCTTTCTGCCTCCAGGTCCAGTATTTTATCCTCTGAGCCACCCAGCCGCCTCTAATCTCTGTTAGCCTTTGTTTTCCTATCTATAGCAATATGTGTACTAAGTACCTCAGTATTTTTCTGAAGTCTGTTATTCTCAAAATCCAAATAAACACAAACTATTATCATTAAGCAATTATTTGAGGCCTCACAGCCCAGGAAACATTCTTTCCTTCCACAAATACTTAATAAAATGTCTACTGTGTGCAGAGCTCAGAGAGACAAAATGTGGATAAGACAAGATGGCACCTTGTGCTGATCTGATAAGAAAAGAATAGAGGAAGGTGCTAACATAGCTGGATAAGTAGTCGCATCTCTCACATTGCTCCATGAATCTGGTGGTTGTGGAGGAGAAAACCTCAGGGCCCCCACAGGAGGTTTGGCAAAGGGGACTCCCAGGAAAACACTGACAACTTTGTCAACACCCTTGATACTGATTTGAGTCCCTTGAACCTGTCCAGACTCTGTGGTTCTGATAAGGTCATCTGCATGATGCCCTGTGAACAAAAAGGAGAGAAATCCTCAGGGACAGAGGGTTGAAATGATGTCCAAATGTGCCCTCTATATCTCCCACCATGACCATTTTTTCATTAGATGGGAATGCAAGCCTCCTCCTATTTCGGCCATGATTCTTTCCGTTTCCCTTAAAGATCTCCAGCAATGGGGAACTTACTGCTGAGAAGGACCATTTGTACTTTGAGACAGCTCTGCCACTGACTCAGGAGCTGTCCAGCTTTGGGGAACCTGAGGTTCAAGATCAAAGTCACTGCTCCCCAACAATCCCACCCCCAGCCCAGCT